CTAGAGAGCTCCACCGAAGGCCCCAGTGGCAGGAATCGCATACCGCCCCCCGAACATTTCGGAGGTTTCGGGGCCCCCTGAAGGCCCCAGCGACACCGCCCCCCCGACCGTGTCGGCGCACCCCTCACACGCTTCGTGGCTCCGATGGAGCTTCCCCGACTGCCCCAGTGGAAGGGTTCACATACCGCCCCCCGACCATGTCAGCACACCCCTTGCACGTTTCGTGGCCCCAATGGAGCTCCGCCGAAGGCCCTATCAGCAGGGTTCGCATGCCGCCCCCCGACCACTTTGGCTCACCACTCATACGTTTCGTGGCCCCAAGGGAGCTGCATTGAAGGCCTCATTGGCAGGGTTCGCATACCGCCCGCCGACCATGTCGGCACACCCCGCACATGTTTCGTGTCACCATGGGGAGCTCCACCAAACGCCCCAATAGCAGGGTCGCATGCCGCCCCCCGACCATTTCGGCAGACCCCGCACACGTTTCGTGGACCCTAGAGATTTCACTGAAGGCCCTATTAGCAGGGTTCGCATACCGCCCCCAGACCATTTTCGAACACCCCTCACACGTTTCGTGGCCCCAAGAGAGCTACACCGAAGACCCCGGTGGCATAGTTCGCATGCCGCCCGCCGACCGGCACACCCCTCACACGTTTCGTGTCCCCATGGGGAGCTCCACCGAAAGCCCCAGTAGCAGGGCTCGCATATCGCCACCCCGACCATTTCGGCAGCACGACGTCCCAAAGTAGACGTTTTTGAACATGATGGGTACCACATTGTATTATCGGGAGCAGACGCGAGCGCCCCGACATGGGCAGGCGTGGGGTTCGTCGTGGCGCCTTCGCACTGGCAGAGAATACCGTCTTACAAACAAATATCCGACAGGCTGGCGCTCTTGAAGCTGAAGGTTCGGGCAAGCACCTTCGGCATTCTTTGCTGTTACGCGCCACACAACGCGAGACCGCTTGAGAAGCGTCGTGCTTTCTATAACTGTCTGAATAAAGAATGCCGCGCCTGCTCCGCCAACAGTGGGAAGATTGTTGTCGGTGATTTTAATGCCAGACTCGGGCACGCGGGTGTTGGGGAGGCCGACGTGATCGGGGAGCACACGTGGGGCCGGCGGGTGCTCCACGGAGCAGACCCCCCAAACCGTGAGTGGCTTGTGGAGACGTGCACAGGGCTCTCTCTGAAGGTAGCTCATACGTACTTCGACCACCCGCTCCACGAGAGGATAACATTCATGGAGGCTGGTGATCTGCCCAATGGTGGCATCACTCCACACATGTATAGCATCGTGGATTTTGTCCTTTTCCAGCGATGCGATGCTCAGCTCTTTGCGCTATGTCAAGAGCCACCCGACTGCGGCGTTGGCGACAGATCATTACTTTGTCACGTGCTCTCTCGGGGGTCGCTCTCCTGAAGCCGCAAGCAAAGGCCACCGGACGCAGACAGACGCCCTGCGGGATCCCGAGACACAGAGGGTATCTGGAGAAGTTGTTCTGGGAGCTGTCAGCACGTTTCGAACGCCCGCCGGAACTGTCGACGACACTTGGCAACGCGGGGGCATGGCATTTCTTGACGCGACCAAAAACTTGCCGGAGCGCCTCGCGGATATTCAGAAGCCGTTGATCTCTCCGCGGGCTCTGGATCTTATTGCACAGATAAGCGCCGCACGAAGCAGTAATGATAAACGCAGACAGAAGTTATCAATGATGGAGGTCAGGAAGGCATTTATGACCGACCAAACAGCTTGGCTTGACGAGCACGTCGCAAGTGGGGGTTGGGCAGCCATTCGGCAATATATTCGGCCGAAGCCAAACCGCCAAGGGAGGCTGCGAAACTTGGACGGGAGACCGGTGGACATCGAGGAGCGCGCTGACGCCATGGCTACCTTCATTGAACAAGTGCAGTGGAGAGTGCGCTTCGCCGAGACCACGGGCAGCGATCCTTGGCCCCAGAATTGACAGTATCCGACGCCCTTTTCACAAATCAAGAAGTTGGCAAAGCAGTGGGGAATCTAAAGTGGAACAGAGCGTCAGGGTCATATGACATCCCAGCGGAACAATGGAAAGCAGTATCAAAAAGACCGGGTGGGCTACAGTGGCTCACAGAGTTGTGCAAAGCGTGTTGTGTAAGATCAGAAGATATCTTGACGCAGTGGCAGTTGGCTGCGACTGGGACGATCCACGAAGGGAAGGGAGCAGTTGACCAGTGTGACAATCCTCGACCGATCAGCTTGGTATGCGTTGCGTACAAGCTGTTTGCGAGTCTCTTCTTGGGCCGACTGCTGGGCGCCGGCGCTGACGAGCGCATGGCAAGCTTGCAGTTTGGCTTCCGGCGGGGCAGAGGCACGACAGATGCCATCCACGCTGCGTGAGATTCATTGACCGGGCGCGCGTGGAAAAATATGGTTCCATCGCTGTGGTCGCTCTCGACTGGAAGAAAGCGTTCGACTCCATCAACGTTGAAGCGCTGGGCGAAGCTCTTCGGAAATTCGGCGTGAGAAGCGACAGTTGTCCAGAATGTCGCAGGGGTGCCCGCTGTCGCCAAGATTTTCGCCATCTTCATGTTGGTCGTCGTGGAAGACGCCGTCGGCCACTTGGACGATGCGACGAAAGAGGCACATGGCACTGGGAACTTGAAAGCGCTACTCTACGCTGACGACACGCTGCTCTTTGGGAGATACCAGGTCCCTGTACAGCGGCTTTTGGGCGAAGTCGCAGCAGCAGGAGCTCGGGTGGGCATGGAATTGCACTGGGATACATGTCAACTGCTACAGGACAACTGCGGCGTCGACATCTGGCCCCCGTCCGGAGCGAGGATAGAGCCGAGAGATCATATGACATATTTGGGGACAGCTCTGTACAGTTCTGGACGCCTCCATGGCGAACTCAACCGACGCATCGGTGCCGCCTGGGGAGAGCTTCCAATTCTGAAAAGGGCATGGAAGCACGTCGCTCGGCAGAGGCAGAAATATCGACATTTCCCTAGCCATGGTAACGAGCAGAATCTTATACTTTTTGAGTTCTACGCTGCCCAACAAAGCCGAGCTGCGGCGTTTGGCGGGCTTCCAGGCAAGGTGCCTCAGGCGGGTCCTGAACTCTGCTCCGTTTTTTTTTCGCGCGCTTCGAACAGGAACATCCCCGAGGCCGCCGAGCAGACTCCATACAGCTCGCAGCAATTACATCAGCAACTTATAATATGATTTGGGAAAATGGGCAGGGCAAGAGACCAGGACATTTTGAGAGCATCGACGTTGCAACTGGGGGCAATCTTGCCGCTGCCCGCAGCGGCGCAGCTCAATCGGAGGACGGGTCGGCCGAAGAGCGATTGTACCTCGCGTTTACATGAAAAAGTGCACGGTCATTTTTCGACGAGCGAGATGCAGTTCGAGTGTGTGCAGGACGAGCGTAGGTGGAGGAAGTTCGCCGAGGACCACGCCAACGAGTTCTGATGCTTGCGAGCCCTGGCAGGCGCGCCGGCCCCCGCCTCCTCCTCATCTTCCTTCTGCTCTTCCTTCTCTTCATCCTCCTCCTCCTGGTTGTTCAACTTCGCTGGCGCAGCGTTTCGCCCATTGCCCACTGCTGTCTGTGATTGCTTGACCTTGTTTTCCTGCCCACGCGCCGGACGGCGCATGGTTTGAGAGTGAGTGAGTGACTGACTATATCGGCAGACCCCGTACGCGTTTCGTGGACCTTAGGGATTTCACTGAAGGCCCTAGTAGCAGGGGGTCGCATACCGTCCCCCGACCATTTTCGCACACTCCGCGTACGTTTCGTGGCTCCTAAAGAGCTTCACCGAAGGCCCCTGCGGCAGGGTTCGCATGCCGCCCCCCCGACCATTCCAGCGCACGCCTCACAAGCTTCGTGATTCCATAGCGAGCTCCACCGAATGCCCCAGTAGCGGGGTTCGCATGCCGCCCCCTGACTATGTTGGCACGCCCTTCGCACGCTTCGTGACTCCTAGGGAGCTCCTCCGAGGCTCAAGTGGCAGGCTTCACATGCCGCCGCCCGGCCATTTCGGCACACCACTTAGTCGTTTCGCGGCCCCACAGGGAGCTCCACCGAAGGCCCCAATGGCAAGGTTCGCGTGCCGTCCCCCGACCATTTCAGCAAACTCCTCACGCGTTTCGTGGTCCCACAGGGAGCTCCACCGAAAACCCCAGTGTTCGCATGCCGCCCCCCGACCATGTCGGCAGACCCCTCACACGTTTTTTACCCCATAAGCAGGTCCCTAGCGAAACGTTCAGGGCTACTGCAGATCCATCCATGTGTTTTTGTGCTTTGAGCGGTCCTGCCTGTAGTCGGCTTGTGTTTAAATTGAGGTTGGGTGTTTCGCCAGGCCGATGTTTGTGCAGATATGCTGCCGTCGCAGAAGAGGCGGGAGCGCCCTTCCGAAGGTCGGATAATGAGTTGACTGCGCAAGCGTGCACCCCCGACCGCCGCGGGGGCACCTCAGCGCAGAGAGGCAAACAGGGGAGAGCGTTGTTCGGAGCCGTGAGTGTGGCCGGCGCTGGAGCGGAACTCCCTGGGCCGAAACGCAGGAAGTCTGGCGTCGAGGCCACAGTGCCCACGCGAGCCAGGCATCGGGATTGGCGCCGGGCCGATAGGGCGGTCCGAAGGGCCAGAGGCCGCATCGATCGGACATTTCGCGCCGTTGGCCACCGCATGGGGCACGGAAGCGCGGCGTTTGGCGAGGTCGGCCCGCGAAGTCACCCGTTGTGGGAAGGAGAAGTGGGGAGAGGACAGTGGCATTCGGATCGGGTATGGAGTTGTGGTGCAGCAGGGGGGGAGGTCGGGGAGGGAGGGGGAGGGGGGAGGGGGGCGGGAAGGGAGGCGCGGGAGGGGAACTTGAAATGGAGGGGGGGGGCAGGGGAGTTTGTCATGGGAGAGGGGCGGAGAGGAGGAGGATCCATACCCTCCGTTTCCGCGTCCTCCCTCCTGTTCCTCGTCCTCGCCCCTTTTTGGGTAGAGGGGGAGGGGATGGGGAGGGTGTTCCAGGCACGTTGAAGCGGTCCGTCGACACCCACTTCATCCACGCGAACTGCGACGTTGACCTCATAATGGAGGAGGAGAAGGCGGCCTCGGGTTGGGAGCAGATGGATGTAAGAAGTGTGAGGGACGAGAAAAAGGAGAGGGGATGAGGAGTGGATGGGAGAGGAGAGCGACGAGGGAGGGAGTTGATAGGGGATATGGGAAGGATTTGAAGGGAAAAAGAAAAAAGGGGGATGAGGGGGGCGACGAGCAAGGGAGTTGATGGGGAATATGGGAAGGATTTGGAGGAGGAACGGCACGGTAATCAGCAGGTAATGAGCAGGACGCAGGCCCACATCCCTCATCTATCTCCTTCTTCTCCTCCCTTTTCCCTGTCCTCCCTCTACTGCCTGCTCCATATTCCCTACCGGGGGACGGGAAGGAGCGGTCGAATGAGTAGGAGGTTGGGGGGAAAGAGAAGGGATGAGGAGGGAGGTAGGGAGATCAAGAAGAGGGACGGTCGAAGGAGGAGCTGGGCTTTGTGCGACGGCCTCAGGGAGGGAGAGGGCGAGCGCAGCGAGGAGGGAAAGGAGGGAGGAGGCGAGACGGGTGAAGGATGGGAGGAGGCAGGGCAGGTGGACGGAGGGAGGGCGGAAGGGCGGGGGGGGGGGAGCGGACAGCGGGAGAGGGGAGGGGGCCCCGGCACAGACAGCTGGGCCCCCTTCGGAGGGGGGGCTTCGGGCCCCGCGGCCGAGCCCTCGAGGCAGGCGCCCACCCATGCAGTCAGCCCGCACAGCAAGGGTGGGCGACGCTCCCAAGGGTATCCTGGCATCCTCGCCTCCTCGGTCCATCGTTGGCCACTTTTGTTGGCCGCGCCCCGCTCGAGCAGCTTCGGAATGTGCGCCCACGGCCCATGCATCCTTGTCGCGCATCCTTGCTATACGGCTTGACTGTGGGCTCGAGCGCCCCTCGCCCTCCCGCGCGGGAGCCTCCCCGCGCGGCCCAAGAGTCCGCTCGGGCATCGGCCCAGGGCGCCGCTCCCAGAGGGGCCCCTCCCCGACAGCGTTGTTGCTCGAGTCGGATGCGGCCGTGGCCAGCAAGAAGGCGTCCAGGAAGGAGCCCCCCCCTCCCCCTCAAAGGAAGGAGAGCGCCGAGGGGGGGGGGGCGCCGTGCTCTCTCGCCCCGGCGGCGCCACGGCGCCGCCCCTGGCGCGCTCCGCGCGCCAGGAGGGGGTCCAGCGCAGATCCAAGCGGAGCGCAAACACCTCCAGTTTATGTAATGTGTTGTTCCTCTAACAGTTGCCCCCCCCCCCCCCCGCTTGCCCACTCCCTGCCTCCCTCCCTCGCCTCCCTCGCCGCCTCCCTGGTCCCTGGCCCTCCTCGAAGACCTGAGTGGGGCGACGCCCCCACCCCCCTGCGCCTGCGTGCTCCGCGCGCGCACGCGGCATCGGCGCGCTCGTCTCGTCTCGTCTCCCTGGCCCCACCGGGAGGAGTTCGGGTCCACCCAGAAGCCCACGGAGCTCTACGAGACCATCGAGCACTTCTGCCTCGGCCGGCGGCGCGTGGAGCTTTTCGGGCTGGACAGGACCGTGCCGAGGGGGGCAGGAGAAGCGGGTGAAGGAGGAGCGGGAGAGGAGGGAGGCAGGTGGAGGAGGCAGAGGCAACGGCAGAGGTGTAGCCAGCTGGAGGAGGCGGAGGCGGAGGCGGAGGCGGAGGGTGAGGCGGAGGATTGGATGGAGGCCTAGGCGGAAGTGGAGGGAGGAGGAGGGAGGAGGAGGAGGAGGAGGAGGAGGAGGAGGAATAGGAAGAGGAAGAGGAGGAGGAAGAGGAGAAGAAGGAGGAGGAGGAGGAGGAGGAGGAGGGGGAAGGTGGAGGATATTATTGATGAGGAGTATAACGAGAATGAGGGGGAGGCGGAAGGAGCAGAGCCCCCTGTTGCACCCACGGAGGGGGGAAGTTGAGCAGGACCTCGCTTCCCTCAGCCGGGCCCGACCCTGGTTTGCAGCGGTTTCGGCAAAGGCCTGGCCGCAAGCGTGGGAGCGGGCCAATCGGGGGTTGTCAGGAGGGTACCGTGAGACCTGCAAGCCAAGGCAAAGTCAACAGCACGACGTCAGGGGGGGAGAGCCACTCCCAGGTAGAGGGGTGGGGGTGGGGGAGGCGCCAGCCCAACCTTGCCACAGCTGGCCCAGCCTGGCCCAGCCCGCCTCTCCGTTGCAGAAGGAAGGGGGGGCGGGACGGAGGCAGGGCCCTCATCCCACCAGCGAGCCCGTGTGGCCAAGACGTCCACTCAGTACTGCGCCTTCCCGGAGCGCGGCGCAGACCCCTCCCCAGAGCCCAGGCTAACGCACGGCGGCGCACCTGGCGCGCCCACCAGCCCAGCTGCGTGGAGCTCGACGAGATGTCCGGCCCAGCATTCCAGGCCGCCCGAATACGGCCAGCGCGCACTGCGTCGGTGGATCGCGCCGCACCTCCCATGCATCGGCGGTGCCGCGCGACCTGGAGGCCGATCTTCTCCGTCGGGGCGTCGCGGATGCACCAGCGGTGCTGCGCGATCCACCGGCCCCATCTTGGCGGCCTGGAGGCACGGGGCGCTGGGGCGGCGGTCAGAGCTCGACAAAGAGGGCCCAATTCGAGTAGAAGATCGACTACAGAAACTGTTTAACCTAAAATCGTTGTTCGTAAAATCTGCTGAATGTGCGTAGATCGACTCCAGAATTGGTGCGCCCCTATGGAATGGTTTGTTTTGTCGAGTATGCGAGAAACGAGTCGAATGTCAGTAGATATGCGAACCTTCCAGGTTTGCTTTTTCGTTGATTCGACGAACAAGTTTGTCGACGATGCGTAAGACTCGAGAACGTTGGAACTCGGGTTTGCCGACGCTTCTTGACGAGAGCGTCCTGGATTTTGACGGTCAGTTTTCGTGAGATGTTTGCGGCGTGGGCTCGCGTCAAATTTCAGATTGGGCCTCGTTTTTTGTATGATGGCCCCGTGAGGCCAACCCGAGTCCCCCGAACCCGAGTCTTCCGTCTCCCCGATTTTGGGGGTAAATCAACGCAGGCTATTTTTCTCCCCCAACCCCCGATTGTTCGACGCAACATGAAGCCGCTCAGAAAGGAGGGACACCCTGCGATACACACCAAAGGGGTTATTGGAGTTCACCCCTATCGAGGATGGACGCTCCCCATCGTATCTCCCAGGGTTGGGCCCCACATTCTCGATCCACTCAAAAAATCCCACGACACCTGGGGTAGGCATTATGTTGTCGATCTCCCACTCCTCCTCCTCCTCCTCCTCCTCCTCCTCCTCTTCCTCCTTCTCCTCCTCCTCCTCCTCCTCCTCGTTCTCCTCCTCTTGCCTCCTCCTCTTGCCTCCTCCTCCTCCACCTCCCCCCTCCTCCTCCTCCTCCTCCTCC